TTTTTTGATCACCTCCTTAGCAAGCTCATGCATAGGCCAAACCACTTTCTTAATAATTAGGAAATACTGGGAGGAGGTATATGCTAGTGATGGCCTGGGAAAAATTAAAATTAACAAACAATAAAAAAAGAGATAGAGTTTTAAAAATACCTATCATATTCAAGAACATGGAGCATCTGCCAAATGTTAATTAACAATTAACTAACTATCTTGAAGAATTCAAGCTGTCTTACCACATGTGTTGTTCCCAGAAAAAAACTCCCTGACATTAAAAAGGATAGTCCCGCATAAACAAGTACAAAAGTCGATATGTATGGGTGTTTTAATGCAGAGGATTAAATTAAGCCGGTAAATATCTTTTTTTATCAATGATACATATCTGATTTTTTATGAACGCAATAATCAAGTGCATAATTCTCAAGACCCAAATCAGGTTTACACTTGCCAAAGAGAAGAAAAGAAGACCAGAGGTGAATTGGTTCACCAGAGAGACAAGCAGGCGGATTGGACATTGTTCCTTAAGACAATAATCAACCATCTCATCGTGACAGTATTTCATCAAGATTGCAGTACATTCAATGATTATCTGTGGAAATACAAAAGTGTTTGCTTTATTATTCTGTATTCTGAAAGGAAATACATTTTAAAACTGTGATAATTGCTAGTGCACTAACCATATAGGCACCAAAAGATAATTATGCGCTTAGAATGTTCGAAATAAGACCTGGACAGGGAAGCCTATCCTACTTGGTAGTCATCATAATATCTTTTATTCTTTCAAAACTCATATGAGGTATTAACACAATGAACAAAGTATTGAGATTTAGTAAGCACTAATGAAAGTGTGTTTCAAACAAGAAAAAGAGGGACATCCATCCTAACCTTGAGTGGTTTCTTTGTAGCCTTTGGTGAAGAACTGCATGGCTTTGGCTGCACGTAGGGGTGTACGTAGAAGTCCCTCCCGGTCGACGTCCTCTCCCAGCTCACCCAGTATGGTGGTATAAGCCTTCTCAATGTGAGACAGCTTGTTTGAATCTGTATCATCTTTGGAGTCCTTCTCTTTCTTGCACAAACCATTATGTTTGCAGATGTTCAGGTACTTGCCTTCTCCGTTGATCTCTACGTCATGTTGGTACTCCATTCTGGCTCTTAGGTCAACTTCCAGTGAAAGATACTGCAGGGTAGAATGATGAAACAGGCCCAGTAGTAGACTGCTAGCTTGGTGCTCTCAGAAAGGCTGTCCCCTGGTTCTTATATCCTACTTTGGGGCCCTCAGGCTACTGCATCACTGAAGCCTTAAGACACCCATGCAGGAAATGATTACATGTGCATAATTGCTGATTGAAGTTCTTGAGTGAGTTTAAACTTTCACACTGACAAGGTATCTAATCACCACACAAATCAATTTCAAATTCCCTTTCATTAAATGCCATGAAACAGCATTTGACTGATCCTGTGATGAGTTCAAATACCTTGAAGTCCCATGCTCTGATTTGAGCTCACAGAACACTAGGTGTCTTTGAACAACCATGCAAGCCTTATCAGATTATTGTAAAGCCTTTGTCTAGATTGAGCAGTTGAATAAAGTTGAATTAGATGTATTACTAAACATGAGGAACATGTCTGAACCATCCTTCATTTTACACTGTGAAAAAGTGGGGGACATTCAGAGAAGTGTACATTTATTGGATATATTGTAATAAGCAGGAATGTGCTTTAGTCCACATAAAAAGTAAATATCATAAACAACAAGGATCAAAGATTATTGTCTGTTTTAGTTGTCAAAGTAACATTAATCCTCAATTATTTCATAACAGTAAATCATCTAGATGTGTATGCAGAGAAGAGCAATGCTAGAGAATCCTTATGAAAGATTTTTGGAAGAGAGTCAATTTGTATTGTGTACTTGAAAAAAACAACTGTTTATATTTTTACAAAATGCTCTCTAAAAATGTCTGAGCACATACACATGTTTTAAAAATAATTATACAAATGTATTATTATATCTGTTAAATTTTGTTTACCCTTTTTCTAAATGTGTTACAATTAACTAATAGTTATAAAGGCCTTTGGTTTCACACTGCTGGTTTAATTTGAGATTTGAATATGAGCATGTGTCATGTTAACTGTTTAAACCATAATCTGGATAAGCGGCTATAGAATATGGATGGATGAATCTGTTAATGCGGATGAAACATGTACTTATCCTGACTAGGGATGTGGCGATACCAGAAATTCAGTAGCTACTACCAATACCATGGAAATTACAGTTCTCTCAAATATCACAGGTCATAATGTGCTCTCAAATATATTTGTTTATGTTAAAACAACTCCTTCGAAACAATTGTATTTTTCTAGTTTCTCGCATAAAACCTTTTTACAAGATTTCATTTGAACACATCATGATAATGCCACACTTTACCTTCACCCAATTCTTTTTCATTAAATGAATAGAGCTTTAAAGCCTCATAATGTTACTCAATGCAGCCTTTTTAAACATTATCTGTTAGCTCTGTGATTAAGCCAAGTGGGAACGTGATGCCCGCTGGCTGTTGTCAGCTTACATTACCAGTTCTCTTTATATATACGGATTTGTTGTATTTTCCTATGAAGCCTTATCAGAGAGATGAGGGGACACGGCTTAATCCCTGATCAATAGTATCTTCACTACTGTAGAAAAAAGAGTTCGCCATTTTTTTTTATTTAGGCATCAGCTTTGTACCAAAGTGTGTGTTCTTGTGACATCCCTTGTCGTGACAGTCAGATTCTAAGTATTTTTGCCCCACTAAATGAATAAAACATCATCTTAAAAGTGTAACGCAGTGAAACATCTACTGTGAAACAATCAGCTGTCTCAGTGACGCACAGAAGAAAATGGGAAAAAAGCTTTTACGCATCATGCCTGTTAACATAACTTACCGTTTCCACTGCCACATGACAGCATTGCACGCATAAACTCTTTCAACTCAAACAACCCTTTGGTAGATCCTGTTGTTGTGCTGTGACCAGAAGGATCAACAATCGGGCATTCTCGTTTTCTACAGATTTATATGGTTTTGTGTATGTTCCTTTTTGTTTCATTTGCTTCCAAGAATTAGAAAATTAAGCCGAAACATTGTAAATATATCTGCTTGGTCACATTTTATGAAAATGTCAATATTGAGATCTAATAAACTGTGTCGTGATAAAAACACATAAACCTGCACATTATGTGTGCGAGTGAGAAAATAAAAAATAATATTTGTTTTCACCTTTTAATATTGATGTCTATACCATTTACCACAGATAACCGTGTAAACAAACACACTTTAAATCCAAATCATACTTAGCAGTCCATCCATTTACTTATTTTGATCCACATATTCAATTGTCCTTACTGTAATCTTTGTTACTGTGCTTCCTGTATAATGTTCATTCTTCTAATTATATTCCATCTGTGCTTTTTGCTATTGTGTCAGTTTTTCTATGATTTCCTCTGCCATACTCATTCATTGTTCCTGTGTTTGACATGTGTATCACTTTCAAAGCACAGTAGCAATACTTCTGGCAAACTTGCTCAAACCAGACTTCTTTCTGATATCAACCCCTGTAAAGTTTTGTGATGTCAAATCATGCCAGGGCCTAAAGTAGAGAAGTGCATTTTGAATCATGCATGCTTCTGACATTATCACAAAATGTAGCAACAGACAAAAAAAACACCTACCAAAGTTTTACCAACCGCCCCTGTGGTAGATACTCATACATGCCAACCTTTCCAAATCCAAAAGAGGTAGGTTTGCGCGTGGCAAATGTGCACGCCCAAATGAGATAATCAGAAGAAATGGAACCCCAGAAATGACATGTATAAACCATGTATTTAATTAACATATATTGCATCATTTTATTCATTTTTCACAAAAAGTGGTAGTTTGGTAAACAGTGACATCAACGACATGTCTGATCTGTAAAATGCCCGAAAAGTAAAAGAATGGAAGATAAATATCCCAAAGTCTCCACATTTGATCACATTTTTAATGTGTTTCTGGTCCTCTTTCAGTTGAGACGGTGTAGATGAAGGATATGTCAGGATGTAGAACTCTTGTGTGTACATTGGATAAAGCCAGGTTCATATTCTTGTTTCATGTTGTTGACATATTAGAGTCAAAGGTTTGCACCGAGCGAAATATCTTTGTGTTGCGCCATACTGTACATCAGGAAATACTGCATTAAAACAGTTATTTCCTGCATTTTTCTACTGATAAAGTGTGATATAAATAATGTACAGGCTTTCAGATTGCTGTAGTTCACTAAACAGAGACATTAACGACATGTTTGGTGTTGAAAATGTCAGAAAAAGTTAAAGAATGGGAGAAAAATATCCCCAAATGGTATTATATGTTTTGTGTGTTTGTGGTCCTCTTTCAGTTGAGACACTGTAGGTGAAGGATGCTTCAGGAAAAGACCAAACACTGGATGTCTTTCAGTCGCCAACATGTGTTTTCGAGACACTGATATTAACGGGGAAACCCCTGCAGGACTGAAATGCCTCGTCTCTGTTCCCCAAACTAATTTGGGAGTGATTACCCATCAGCCCCAGGGCTAACGCTGCCTGTTGTTTCTCTTTCAGAAACACAGAGGACAGTTTGTATGATGCGATCACAGACACGCTGCAAACGGTGTCCGCCAAAAGTCGAGTGCAGTGTCTATGGAGTGTCTTTTTTTTTTTTTATAGTTTGGGAAGATTGAAAATCGGTAGGGAAAGCCAGCTAAGTCGGTAGGCGGTAGAAATATGTCAAAAGCGGTAGACTACCGCCCAAATCGGTAGGGTTGGCAGGTATGGATACTGCAACAGATTTCACTCTTATACAGTATCATGGTGAGAAAGTTAGTTCATTTTCTCTTGTTATTCCTTGCATGATTGCATAAATGTGGTCTGTTTGAATAAAGAGATTTTATAAGATTAATATTATCATTATTGAATCAAAATATCACATTAAACAGGAAATATATTTTTGGCCCTTAAAATTCCCTATTGGTAAATCTCTAAAAATTACCAACTTTTGGGTCCTGGGTTCACGCTGTTACAGCCAAGCATTTTAATCAACACAAGGCCAACCTGCTGACTGTCTTGTGCTTCAGAAGAATGCTGGGATCTACCCACATCGTGTAATACATCAACCCTGTGCGTCATACAGGCCAAAACCAAATGTATTAAATGTGAAACTCCATGCTAATTTTCATGGTCATACTTGTATTTTGGGTTTGTACTTAATCATGTTTACTTGTTTTAAACCAGCGCTACCTACTTTCTCAGTTGGTAGAAACAGCACATCATTTGATTTCACCCCTTTTTTATACAGTATGGTATAAATATAAGGCACAGGCTCTCCCACGCTCACTTCCTGCATGAACTTTTATCCTCAGAGGTGTCTGAGTTTCTCAGGTTGTCTCCCCCTCCCCGCCAGTCTCTTCTTCATGTTCCTCATTTAGCTTTTTATACAACCAGCTGCTTCTGTTTTAGAATAGGGTAACAGCTAAATGCATTGTTTTGTATTATTTAGTATAAAAACTATATTATTATTAAGTTATTGGGACACTCCTCTTAATCATTGAATTCAGGTGTTTCATTCAGTCCCTTTGCCACAGGTGTATAAAATCAAGCAGTCTGCCTTAACAAACACCTGAATTCAATGATTAAGAGGAGTGTCCCAATAACTTAATAATANGGCATTGTAAAGTGGCCAAATTCTGATCAGCTCATTTTCAGACAGGTTTTTATATAAATGGATCAGGACAAAAATGTATAAAATACATGAAAAAGTGGATTTAGCATAATAGGTGACGTTTAAGAAAAATGTGGAGTGGTCTCTTACACAACACATTAAATCATTAGCAAAGATAGGTATTCAAAATGAACATTACTTAATATATACATTTAATCAATATAATTAAAGTATTATACAGTTACAAGCTTCACATGAATAGATATAATGTGTGTATGTTGATATTTTATTTCTGTTTGGGTTCATTTTCAACCTTTAAAGGTAAAATCCTGAAAGAATGAAACTGAGTTGAATTATGCGTACTTGGTCTTATGCCCCCATGAGGACATCTGGTGACAGTCACAATCATTAACCGGAAAGTGAGGTTTAATCCATCTTTTGGTTATGGTGAATTCATCAAGGGAGATCTAATCCTGGTTTATGATTCTGTGATATTTTGCTGATAGAAAAAAAAATGCATTTAAATGAACGAAATAGGGCAGACTATGTTTTCAAATCTCAATGCATTAAACATTTACTGATGCATTATTATAGTCATGGCAGCATTTTGACTGTCAGCAAAATCACAAGATATAGCCAGTTAGTCTTTTATGAAAAGTAAGGCTTTTTACTTCAAAAGGACTGGTTTATAATAGAGACAATGATATTATACAAACACATTTTGGATCATATTCTTATATAAAACAACCTAAACTACGATAAAGATGTCATGTATATCGCTTCACACCACCTGGTTATGGTTATCGTAGGATCCTGGTCACACTAATATTGACTGTCATATTGTCAACACTTCCAAGTAAAATATCAGACCTACTGTAGTGACACCATGTAGAGAAAACCCATGATACAGTTCTAGGAATAAAAAAAAGGAACGTGCATGTAAATCAGGGGGAAATAATAGAAAACTAACTCTTATTTAACCTTAACACCAACCCCTATACAACAAAGAGCTTTTGAGTTGGATATAAAGATGCTCCAGATGTCATCATGTGGACAAAGTTCTTAGTATTGATGTTGACTGATTAACAGTCCTTTTAATACATTATTCCATCTTGTTTCCAGTGTAAACAGCTGACTGAAACATACATTAAATGGACAGCTATATAAGTGCTGGAATATTATTAAATAGTCAGTGCGAATTTAAACTGCATTTGTTTGCAGTGAGCAACACCTTCCATCTTCTATAAATGCTAACAAAGCTCTGGGCTATTGGAGTCAGGAAGTACAGAACGACTATTAACAACCAGGAACAATTTGCAATCAGACTAATGTATGATCTTTATTTAAGCTGTCCTAAATGAATCGGCCTGCGTGGACTTGAACTCAAGAACTGCTTGGTGTGAAACAACAAGTGCTAGAAACAATGAACTATTAGAGAAACCCTGACCTTGACCCTAAGTCCTTGAGAGAATAAACGCAGTGTCTATAGAAAGATTTCCAAGAAAAGTTTCAAAGCGATGGTACATTAGTGGTATTCCAATTTTTGTATGTCAACTAATCTTTGATCCTTGTTGTTTATGAAATTCACTATTTATGTGGACTAAAGCACATTCCTGCTTATTACAATATATCCAATAAATGTACACTTCTCTGAATGTCCTGTGTAAAATGAAGGATGGTTCAGACATGTTCCTCATGTTTAGTAATACATCTAATTCAACTTTATTCAACTGCTCAATCTAGACAAAGGCTTTACAATAATCTGATAAGGCTTGCATGGTTGTTCAAAGACACCTAGTGTTCTGTGAGCTCAAATCAGAGCATGGGACTTCAAGGTATTTGAACTCATCACAGGATCAGTCACATGCTGTTTCATGGCATTTAATGAAAGGGAATTTGAAATTGATTTGTGTGGTG